TTCATGGAAAAATTATGCAAAGGAAAAAACAGTGAGATCCTTTGGGATATGTGTAAACTTTTCCAAATGTTCTTGCCACAGATCTCTGAACAGCATTTGACTTGCTCTGATGAAGTTGTCTCACGTTCCCTAATGCAAACACATTTTTAATAACATTTTAATATTTTTATACATCATTCCTGTGCATGTCAGCATAATCTTGAAAATGATGCTGAGAAATAATGAAAACCAAACTAACCCTTGTTCATGCCAGCTGACTGGAAAATCCTGCTAAGAGTGCTTTGTCTCCATGAAAGGCAAAATAACAGAGTAGCAATCATGGTAACAGTATGCACTAGGACTGGAGCCAGAAGAGTAAAGACAAGAGTTAGCAGTAGCAGATGACTTCACTTACTGGAAAAAAGGGGCAAAATAACTCAATCCCAAATGAATTTAAGTATTGGAATTTTGTTATCAGCAGTATCAGGCATAACTTCCCCAGCTAATTGCTCAGCAGTCTGGTATGTCCATATCCATCCCTTGGTCTGTGCGGTTGTCATCAGTATCTCACTGCTTACCCTCTTTGGCATCCTTCGTGACATGGGCTCTCTTTGTCTCTTACTCCTTTACAGAAATGAGGTCATCTGCTCTATGCCCCATAACTCATGCTGACACTCACTGCACCCCACATTTCTTGCTGAACTAAGTGTAGCAAGCTGAAGAGAACTCTATAAACTTCACCATTCTTCTTCATAGACATTTGGCAGCAGAGCAGCAAAGACTATGTAAAGATGTTTCAATTCAGATTCTTATTACCTTAGCACAGGGCTAACAGAGCTAAACTGTATGGATTTCCTTCTCTTGCCTTGGAAAAAAGGAGGATGCAGAACTACATTGAAAATGGTCAGTCCAGCCATAGTAATACCAGCACAGATGATATTTCTGTTTTCATCTGGTCCCACAAAGCATTCTGTTTTCTGCCATCAGGAACTTCACTGAAGACACCTGACTGGGCATTTGAATAAGTCACAGAGTCACAGCATAGCTGGAAGAGACCACAGTGGGTCATCTAGTCCAAGCTCCCTGTTCAAGTAGGGTTATCCTACAGCACATGGCACAGGACTGTGTCAGATGGTTCTGGAATGCCTCCAATGAAGGAAGCTCCACAAGCTCTCTCTAGGCAGTGTGTTCCAGTGGTCTGTCAATCTGGGTCCATTTCCTTCTTTGACAGGACTGATGCAAGCAATTGTGATTGCCATATGTAATAGCATGGAAGCCAAGCTGGACTGTTGTCTTGAATTCTAAGACTCTTACACCTATTTCCACAAACTCTGTCACCCTTGACGTGTCACACCTTAAGCCTGGCAATATTTTCTGTGAGCTGAAATTTTAGTCCCTAATATAATTTTTATATTATTCATAATATTCCCTAGTATTATATTATAATCTGAGATGTGCAGTCTTTTCAGACATGCTACGTAATTTGTTTCAAGGGGAGTGTGGCAGTTTATCAAACTTTTTCTGTTAAAAGCTGTCCAGGTAATAAAAGCTCTTACTTAAACCAAGCAATTATCATCTTTATAATGATCAATCTTTAGATAGTTTAATGTTGCAATAGTATTAGAGTAAATTTCAGTCCATGCTCCCTAAAGAGAGGGAGAAAAAAAGAGAGTGTAGAGTGAAAAGTCTCAAACTATTATTTCTTGCTAGATAATATCTCTTACTCTTTGTAGGTTTTGATAGTAACATTTGAAGCTACCTGGAGTCAAATCCAGCCAGCTTTGATTTTTTAATAACTTGATTGTGTCAGCACTGGACTTCTTATTGTGATGTTCTTTCTGATAAAGTAATTTTGAAGGAGTCTCATGCTTTTGTTTTGTTGCATATCAATGTTTGGAACAAAATTAATCAAACTGCTTTCAGGTCTCTGATTCTCCACTGTGAGAAACTTAAACTTTAAACTATTATGTGTTACAAAATTTAACAGTTATTTCTACATGTGGCGCAATGTCTGTGTGAAGAAGGGCTGCACTGTACTGATAATCCTCTAGGGCCAGGCTTTAAGATTGCTACTATTTCACAGGCTGTGGTTTCAGTAACTTGTTAAAAATAATACTTCAGTAGCATTCAGTGAACTTAAAAGAACTTAATGTCATTGACTTGAAAAAAACTTAATGTAAATCAAGATTAAGAAGTGGCATCAGAAGCACCTGAATGACACAGGGGGAAGCAATATAAAAATGAACAAATCCTGCAACCAAATTAAGGGACAAGCCTCAGAGTGGGCATATTAACACTGAAGTTTATGCTGAGTTTCAGATTAAACTCTTACTGATAAATGCTCATAATTTTCAGGGAAATTCTCTTTTAGCTGCCACTGTCTTTTTCCTGGGTTTCAGTTCCAATATATTTTAGGCTTCTCAGCAGGTAATAAATACCTCAATAGTCCTAAGTATTTTCCTGTTCACAAGTTGAAAAGTATCTGATGGATAGGCACTACAAAGAAAGCATGTAGAGCAAACTCCTTTTTTGGGAACCTAGTCCATCAGAAGAACTGGAGGGTTTCAAACTAAAGAACTTGTAATAATTTCTGAAACTTCTGAAGGCATTTGTCTTGTCTCTGCATAAATTTTAATTTGTAATGAAAATCCATGGTAAAAGACTTCAGTGAAGTGTATATTCTTGTTACTAATGCAGCAGATAAGATTTTTCAGACCTAATGGTGAATTATGAATCCATAGAGTTTTTACATTAAACTAGGCAACACATAAATGCATTCATAATCATACTTCTTCTTGTCCTAATTTGTGCTTCGCCTCCATGGCAGAAATGGAAGATGAACTGCTTTGGTTTTAGGGAAGAAGCTTCCAGTGTTGTGTTACAGCCCAAATGCATCAAAATTTTAGTTGTATGTGCAGCAAGAACATTGTACTGTGCCTTCTCCAACATCCCAGATGTGCGTCTTTAGGTGAATCTCTGGATGGATTTTTGTAGTTCATTGTTAAAATGACTGAAAGTTATTTTTTAAAACTGCACATGGCCATTAGGTATAAGACCTTCTCTGAAGCTGCATATGCCAGTGATTGATGCTGTGACTGTTGTGTTTCACAAATTTACAGTTGTGTGATGGTAGCAAAGATGGGCAGGCAAAAATGCTGTCCTGATGGTATATATGAATGAGGCAGAAAACATGCTAAAAAACTGCTTTATCTTTGTTGTCCTACTAAATTGATGGTCTGATGAAGAATACTACTAAAGGTTCCTCTAACAAACTTGTCCCTCCTCTCTGTATTGCTAAAAGAAGTTGTGTCTTTTTTGCTTGTCTTGGGGCTCCCTTCATTATTAATTAAGCAGCATAATGAACTGTTTGCTCAAATGTGCAGAATATTGTGGATTAAATCTTTCCCCTTACTGCTAGGGAAAACCCTTTGCAATTTTTCCTAGTTACAATCCAGTTCGCAGTGAAATTCCAGAGTCTGGGCTATGGTGAAATAAAAAGACAAATAATTTTGAATTAATGTCTTTGTTTCCTACAACTTGACATAAGTCTATTGCAGAGTGAGTATGGGCAGGAAAGCATCTTGCATTTATTTGTTGGGGTTTTTTTGCCTCTTACTGGGACAAACTCATTACTGGTTCTCCTGTTCTTGTGTCTCATGAAACCTCAGTTCAAGACAGAAGATGATACCTTCCTTCAGGGTGTTTCAGGGTAGAGAGAGCAGCCTGTATAATAAATAAAAACAGAATGTCTCAAGTAAGGAGAGACCTCTAAGGATCATGGAGTCCAACTTCCTGCTCCTTGCAGGGCTCCGTAAAACTAAATTATATCACTAAGAGTGTTGTGATATAACCAGACTCACCTTGTACTCTGACAGTTTTGGTGCAATGACCACTTCCCTGGGAAGTTTTGTCTCAGAACCATTTCTGTTAAAAGTTCATGTTCATCCTGTTGTCAAACTGTGCTGTGGAATCTTGGTGCTTTGGATTGGTTTTGAGGTGTTTTAGTTTTTTTTCTGTTTTAGTTTATTACTTATTTGATGCCAGACACTTTTGTAAATATTCTGATGATGATTGTACATGGCTTTTCACATCACAAAGTTTCTTCTTGTGTCAACCTCTTAATGAGTGGTTTTGGTAAGAGTCCAGAAGCTGACTAAGCTGAGGTTGCTGGAACCTCCGAGAAGGGATTTTTGTACTTAGAGGAAAGTCTGTTCTGCTAGTACCTGGACTGTCCCAAGGAGAAAGACATGGGGCAGATGGCGACTTTGATGACAACTGTTCCCACTTTCATCACAAGCACCAATGCCATAAGTGTTTAAAAGTGAAATCTCAGCTGTTTGCTGTGAAGCCAAGAAGAGCCTGGCATTTACTGAGGATGATGATAGTCTGTGTTTTCCACTGTATTGCAAAGGTCACTGCCTGCCTTTTGTGAACAGCATCGAGGAGCTGGAACAAAACCGTGTTTTCTGTGAGGCCTCATAAAATCTGTAAATTGAGAGGAAAAATGATCACAGTGAGACATCTCTAGAGCTCATAGATCTTTGAGAAGTGATGCATCTGTCCATCCTTTAGGTATATGAAGAGCCCTTGGTTTTTCTTACATGCTCAAGCTGTGAGTCAGTATGAGCAGATTGTTTACAGTTTATTCACAACATGAAGTTGTGAACAAAATTCAAAACACATGTGAATGTTCCTGTTCACACCTGAAGTACAAACCGACTTTATGGCTCTGCATATTACACTTTGGCACATCCAGCTGTTGTAAGGATGCCGAGAGTTTTTGTAGTTCATTGTTAAAAGTATGAGCAAAACTTTTTTTAAAATTACTCCAGGGAGTTCAAGATTATGGAGATGAATTTATAACAGAAATGGATGGTGTAACCCTAATGGGCAAGAAACAGTGCTTCAGAAATGGTGCCATTTGGTTATCTGTAAAAATTAATTTTAATCAGTTCCTAAACATGCCATTGAAATTTTTGGGATTTGCATCAGTCCAGTGTTAAATAATCTCTGTCTTTTAGGTCCATCTGACATGTCAGCAGTTATGAAATTCAGCAGGAGACCCACATGTCCTGATGCCTCAGTTGCAGCAAGTCTACCTACACCTCCTGTACCAAGGCACCGGAAGAGTCACAGCCTAGGAAACAAGTGTGTAATCCCAGCTGTCTCATGCTCAGGCACTTACATGCATGTGTCACAAATATTTAAGATAGTAGCCGAGAACATGCTAGTATTTGTCCTTTCAATTTCTTGTATTGCAAAAGTGTTTCAGGCTCCAGTATGTATTCCCCAGGTTTTCTCTTGACTCTTTTGTCATTTTGGCTCTGTTCTCTGCTAGCGCCAGGCACTGGCAATACTTGAAAGCTCCTTATCCACTTTGGTCTGTGGATTCCTGGTGTGTCTCCTTTTTCTAGGTTTCTGCTTTTGCTGCCACCAGAGATGTTCACGTTTTGTACGGAGAAGTCAAAACATTTACAACTTCCCAGCTACAGAAATTTAATAATTGTTACTGACAAAGAGAAGTAAAATCTGAAATGCATTTTGATAGTAAAGGAGCATATGCACAGTACGTGGTAGCGTATAATTGCCTGCTCCTTAATAACCTGCTGATGAGGCAGAGGCTTAGTGGAAATAATGTGAGCCAAGGGTTGCTGTTAGATGACATAAGAGGGGTTTCACGTTTTTCTCTTCTTCCATGTTCCAGTATGATGTGTCAGTTGAGCGTCGTGGAGAGCAAAAGCGCCACCTTCCCGACGGAGCGGCCACGGCACCTGCTGGACGACAGTGTCCTGGAGTGTCACAGCCCAGCGCGCGGCCACGCGCCCAGCACGCGCCTTGCCAACGGCCTCTCCGTAGGTATGTCCGGGGAGTGACACCCCTGCTCCTGTCCCCGGGGCGCTGCAGACTCACAGATGCCCGAAAGCAGAGAATTAGGGAGATCATTAGTTCCCTTGCAAAGACTGATTGTTTTCATGGATGGAAGTAGATCAGAACTGCTACCTGGTCAATGTAACATCAGCTTTCCTTGATTATCCACTGATGCTTTTGGTAAAAGCGGCATGAAAGAAGATTGGTTTTGTAGATGCTCGGTGTGTGACACAAAGTGTTTATCAGCTTTTACCAGGGGGAAAGTGGATATGTATTTTAAAAGCTACCTTTACACAAATAAAGCTTTAATTTTAACTATATGTTTTAGAAGATGGGGGATTTGTTTGGTAGTACTGTCTAAGACTTATAAAGAAACGTAAAATGAACACATTATAGTATTATCATTAATAAAGAAATTATTATAATATCAAAAAAGTGATCACGAAGCTGTGTTCTAAGCAAGAGAAAGCTACCTTACAAGAGACTCAGGCAATTTCTAGAATAAGAAATTGATTGTGAAAGATAGCACTTACTTGACCAAGAACTGGACACTGAGATGATCTTTTCACTTCTGAAAATACAGGAACAGCTCAGTGTGTTAAAACTGAGCATTAGAAGATCAGTACTGGGCAAATTAAAACTGTGAGCTAAATATCTGTGCCAGAAAAGGAGGGACAAATGGGTGATGGGCTCGAAGGAGAGATAGGAACTTTATTTATGAATACCATCATATATGTATATATTTTAATAATTCCTAGCAGCAGCAAACAGCTGACATATCCTCTATTAGAGGTGTGTTTGCTTCTTGAAAATAAAACGTGATACCATATCTAATAACTTCAATTGACTTATGAATATTGTGCTAGAAATATTGTCTTACAAAGGAGCTGGATTTTATGTACCTGAAGTTCTCAGGTTCTGAAGTAGAGGCATGATGAAAATAAAAGTAATGGTATTAAAACACAGCAATAACATGAGTTAAGAGTCAGATACTATAAATGGAGAGGCTCATGTAAGCCTCTTCCAACTAAAGATTTTACCATGAACTCTAAACACTTCTTCAAAACATGATTTGAGTAAGCGGTGTCCACAGTACTATACAAAAGAGTATTCTGGTTATCCACATACATTGGCTTTGTATTTTCCCATGGGTGGTTTTCTCACTCCTTCTCTGTACTACTCTCTTTCTAGATAGCAGTGAAAGCTCAGAATTTAGTGAGGAGCTGCCGTCAGGGCTTGAAAGGTGAGTGAGTCTTCATGTACACTCACTGAGCACTCTACAGACTTAGCTAAGAAATTCACAAATGATCCCTAACACAGATAAGCCCTAAATCAATAGTTATTTTTATCAAATTATTGATTAGTTAGGAAAAAACGGCAAACATTTTGAAATAAAGCACTGTAAAGGTATTGGACCTGAAAAGATTAGGAGCTATCTCTGTCATATTTACCAAACCCTAAAGAACACCCCTCATCAGATATTTGCATTCACAAACAGGGGTCGTTTATATGCCACGCTGGGTCCTAACTGGAGGGTACCACTCAGGAATTCTCCTCGGAGTCGAAGCTGTGTCTACAGGTACAGTTTAGGGTCTGCCTCTTTAATTGTATGGTGCTAAACTTCAATTTGGGTCTTTACGCTTTCCTAGTAATGTATTTTGGGTCCAAATATCCTTATATGACCATGACAATTTACGAAGTCTCCCCCTCCTGCTTGTAAGAACTCCTGTTAATGGCAAAGCAGGGTTACGGCTCATTCAGATGAAATTCAGTTTAGCTGTTGATTTAACTAATGTTGTCTGGCTTCCATTTTGCAGAAAACTAGGCTTTACTTAGAGTTTTATGAAACCTCTGTGGAAGCAGGTTTGTCATCAAGGCCATCTTTGACTCCTATTACAAGCAATGATGTTAGAAGGATACCTTCCTGACCCTTTCCAACAATCTATTTCCTGATTTACCAGACAGCTACCCATAGTATCTGTGTCTGTGTGGTCTGTTGATTTTGTTCAGTAAAAGGGTATGACCTTGGACCTCCAGTAAGAGAGGGAACATCCACAAGCCATATCTAGCAGGTGCTTACAATGTTGCTAGTCACTAAGAAGTGCTTCTAGAAGCAGGCAGTCCATTTACAGATCTAAGACAGGTGACACTGAAAATTTTATATAGTTTGAGGGGTAAAAATCATTCCTTGCATGTATACCTGACCTGAACTTGGTAAATTCTGTGATGCTGGCAAATGAAGACATATGTTCGAACAATTAAGAAAGTAGGGCCCTGAATCAGTATTCTGCAAACACTGGGATTTAGTTGCATTTTAAATCCAGTCAGATTTTATTTTGTTTAAATTAGTTTGCTTTAGCCATTGTAGAAGTAAGTTATCGATATAATGTATAAATTACAGCTGCCGTACTAAATTATATTGCTTACTTATCATCTTTATTCTGCTGAAATACGTAGAGGAATGCTTTGTCTCTCCAGCCCAACAGGTGCATGCAGCTGCACAGCAGGTGGTCCCACAGGAGTCATTACCATGGAAGGGCCTTTAAGAAGAAAAACACTGCTCAAAGAAGGCAAGAAACCTACTGTAAGTAATTATAATTATTCCTATGGTCCTAATTCATTAGTGGCTGGTTTAATTTTCAGAATTATGTTAAACCTGCAGCTTGATGCCACACAAAATAATGGTTTTATCAATTGTAATTTTCTGATCAAAGTTACAACCAGGTTGTAACAAAGTTGTAACCTTTGTGTGTCATTTGATATACATCAGTTTGCAAGTCATGTTTCTAGCTGTGACAGCAGAGCAGGAGTGAAGCAATTGTGTAACTAGCAAGCAGTGTCGTGAGGGCAGAAATAAATCTTGTGGCACTGCCAGGTGACTCAGAGCATCCTGATACTTTCCAGCTAAATAAGCCTGACAAAGGCAGATATTGCAAGATGGACAATGTCTGCATTACATTTCTGTGACAGGAAGTAGATTAATATCTATTAATGAGCTTCTAGATTACAGAACTTGCAGTGACACTCATAAAAGACTGAAGAGGGAGATCTTCAGTATGGAATTTTCAAGGGATGGTACAAATTCAATTGAATATATTTCTACAATATATTTTGGTGCTTTTGAGACACGGCATTAAGATGGAAAGGCTGCAGGGCAGCCCCCTTAGCATCAAAGTCATGGCAATTCATAGTTAACCTGAATTCAAGGGTTTCACATGGTTCTAGTCCTATGCATTTGATAATGTATTTGCTTTCTGTAGGGTTGATTGATGTATTTCACATGCAACCCAGTTCAGTTCAGAGCGAAAAGATTTGAAGAACTGAATTGCAGAGTCAACTCAATAATTTTTTTTAATCAAAAGTCTAAGATCTGTACAGCAGAAGGCTGCACACTATTCTTCTCTAAACAATCATTACTGATATTTTCATGAGATACCCAACAAAGAAGGCTTGTATTCACAGCCAGCCATTAAGCTTTAGGTAGCTGAGCTGATTTACACCAGGAGACACTCTTTATCTCCATTCCCTGCTTCTAGAATTAACTTTGGTAGCACTTGGACTTGCCTGTGAATAAATTTTTGAAATGTCAGCGATATGCAGAGGTTTTCCTAATTTTTTTCCTTTTTCATTCAGCTCTCCTCATGGACTAGATACTGGGTCATGCTTTCAGGATCAACTCTTCTGTACTTTGGAGCAAAAGCTTTAAGAGGCACTGAAAGAAAACATGTAAGCTTTAAATTTATTCTAAAACCAAAAATTGAATACTCATAAGTAGATCTGGAAGGGCATCCAAAGTGTACTTTCTGTTCCAGGCTAAACCATATTTCTGCACAACTTCTACAGTCAAAAGTTAATCTCTGCTACAGTCTCAGCTATGACCGATTTGTCTGTCTTTTCCAGTATAAATCTACACCTGGGAAAAAAGTCTCCATTGCAGGCTGGATGGTGGCACTGCCTGATGACCCAGAGCATCCTGATATTTTCCAGCTAAATAACCCTGACAAAGGTAGATATTGCAAGATGGACAATGTCTGCATTACATTTCTGTGACAGGAAGTAGATTAATATCTATTAATGAGTTTGTAGATTACAGAACTTGCAGTGGCACTCATAAAAGACTGAAGAGGGAGACCTTCAATACAGAATTTTCCCGGGAAGGTACAAATTAAATGGAACGTACTTCTACAATATGCTGTGGTTCTCCTGTGCTGCCTGCAGAGATTCATTTCTTTTGACAGTTACTATAAATTTCACAGAAATTCCTCAGCTAATATGAGATTGCAGCCCATCCATGTATCTCCATACATTGATCTACAAGTCTCTGAATAGCTTCCTTAAAATCAGTCAATATAAAATCTTGACTTACACTGAGGTCAATTAAAATATCAAACCATTTACCAAAATAAGTCTGCTAAGTAATTATTACTTTTTAATAATTTATTTTGCAGTGCCATAACTCATTTCCCTTCATTAAACTTCAAAAAATAAGAAAACTCCTGGAGTTATTTTGCACTTTGAGTGGCTGCTTATAGGTTCTTGAGGCTTTCTTCAGTTTCCACGTTGTCAGCTTTGCTGCTGGATATGGAGTCCCATCTACCTGGGACTCCATATCCAGCACCAAAATATGAAGTGCATCATCTGGGAGTTAACTAAAATGCACAAAATATTTGATTGCAGGAAACAGTTTGCAGTAGGACATTGAAGAAAACTAAGTTTACAGAAGCCTTGATGAGAAGAAAGCCAGGATTAAATTAGATCTGACCTGCAGCGTATGAATGATGCACAGTCCCCAGTTGTGGTATAACCAGAAACACTTATTAAAAGTGTATATAGCTTTATAATATTTTCAGTATCAAATTAGAATATCATGTTTCTGGATAGCCAATACGGTAACTGTTGACGCGTCTGTTAACCAACAATATAAGGGATTGCATTCCTAGTATACATGTCAGCCTTTTTCCTTTAAATCAAGTGCTTGTATAACAGTTTTTTCTGATAACTGCTGAGGTTCTGCTCCCTGTTACATTTTAGAAACTTTGTTACATCTCTCCTGCCTTGACTGAATAGTTCTTGTTCTTCTTAACCGAGCGGGCTTTGTTCTCTTATTACTAACTAAGTGTTCTTTGTTTTTTTGCCGCACACCGACCTACATGGTCTTTTCTGTGGCTGTAATTCAGCCTTTCTGCCTATGAGACCACATATGTTCTCATACTTGCTTCACCCAAGAATTGCTGGGTAACATGGCTCACATGGTCTCTCTTATATTAGCAGCATCATGTTTGAGCATTTGAGGTGCAAATTAATTTAAGAGTTTAATTCAGGACTTTGGCTTCTGCACAGAAATCGGAGTCCTTTGAAACTATATGTCTGTCTGTCAGTTCTGAGTCTTTCATTTTCTTATATTTGTAGGCAATGTTTACAAGTTTCAGACTGGCTCAAGGTTTCATGCAATACTATGGCATAAACATCTGGATGACGCGTGCAAAAGCAACAAGCCTCAGGTAAGGTATTTCTACCCACTTTTTCCTATTTTCCAGAAAATCCTTACTAGAAAAGCTCTTTCAATCCGTGTGCACACACCTTCCTGGGGGGACAGACATAATTCCTCATTCTGTATGCTGATCAATTTTTTTTCAGTGGGAGAAAGAAAGATTATTTAAAATTAGATAATTCCCATCAAATCAGGTTTTGTGCAGGTCTAGCTATTGGTTTGGTCACCTTAGGAGCATATAACCTCTACTCTCAGTTGCTTCAAGCAAGATAACTTCATCTATTCTTTAGAAGGGACTGTCTCATGGAAAAGGAAAGCAACCATACTGGGATGGACTCAATGATCTTAGAGATCTTTCGTAAATGTAATGATTCAATTTACAATCTCTTCTAGGTACCTGCTAATCTAATGTCATTCGAATAATTTCCTCTCCTACCTGGTGTGACTTCAAGTGCCAAACCGAAGAAACAGGTTATTGTTCTCTAAGGAGGAAGAGGAGAATGGTTTTTCTGACATGAGCCAGCCACAGATATTTCAGCACTTTCCTATGTAACTTGAAAGTGATTCTGACACAGCTTTTAAAAGCAGAAAGTGAATGTTATCCCTAGGACCAGATAAAGTCTCATGCACTGAGTGAAAGCAGACAAGTTAGACGGACAGAAGATTAATCCTCACTCCTGCAGGATTCTAGAGCCCTCAACTATTTGTGGTCAGAGACTGCATGAACTGATATTTGGCCGCAAACTGAGCATTATATCTTCTGCCTGTTCTTTTTCAAATGGTTCTTTTTATTGTTAAGCTGCTTTGTGTGACTGAAGAATATTTGGCCCATGTTGGGTTTCAGTTCTTTCTAATGCACAGAATGATTGACAGTGTTAACTTGCTCCAAAGTGTCAATTAGGATAGAAAATTGTGGAACAACATTTTTATAACCTAAGTGCACTGAGTTGCTTGGCAATGTGGCTGCCTCAAATTTTCTATCAAATCTCTGGACAATATGCTGTTCATATTTGAGCTATTTGGGAAAAATGTATTTTGGCACAGGACAGTTGGATTTCTTTTTCATTCAGTTATTTTGCTCAGGAATACACTGGTAGTAGATTTAAGGCTGTTTAAATTTATGTTGTGCTGAAGTTTGTCTTTCATTCTTTTACCAATGCATAGTTGCTCATAAATTTGGTGTTTTGGTTCAGTCTGAACGCTGTTCATTTCAAATCCCTTAGCATAGGGAAGCAGGTAATCAGGTGTTTTATATCACGTGGTCCTGGCTCCTCAGAATGACTCCATATCATTGTTTCTGTTCTGTCCTTCTGTGGACGACTTGGCTCCATTCAATTCCAGTATGTGTTGTGACTTCAGGACATTAGTACTGGTATATGGTACTGCTATTATAAAATCATGGTGGCAGTGAAAGACTGTCCAGCAGTGGAGCAAGTACAAAGAAGTCTCCACATCAATATCCAGAGAATAAATGAACAACAAAAGAAGTGTAACTGGACCTTCTTCTCCGAAGGAACGCTCTCTGTGCTGTATTCCTGCTGTACCCTGGCACTCCTGCAGTCAGAATCGTTTTCTGTTCATATGTTAAATTCATCACTTTTTCTTTTTCAAACTCTTTTGCTATGTAGCATCATTATTTCGACTTCATCAATCACCAGAAAACCTCTTCTGACTTTCCTAAGATTGTGTAGAGGAGAAATTTGCAAGTCAGCCTCTAACTTACAAACCAGGAACACCATGAAAGTCAGTTTAAGTGAACAGAACCTCTACTAGAACAAGCTCCCTGGCATTAGCAGTATGTATTCTGTGGACTTCATGATTTTCTACATTTTAATTTTGAAACTTCTCTAACAACAAGGAGAAAAAGCCAACTCTTTTTTAAATGAAGGTCAAAAGTAAATTTATTGTTCTTTTAAGAGTTCATGTTACAATCCTGAAAGCCTTAGATTATACTAGGTTTTCAAGAAAAACAGTTCCTGATAACAACTGCATTTAGATCCTGGGACATGGGAAAGTATATGTAAAGTTGACAAAATTTATTTGATAACTATGAAAAGAGTGGTAATTAAAAATATATTTGTATTGTTTTTCTCTTTCTTTGCTAACTTAAGACAACTTTGAACTAGGAAATACATGGTTATCTGCAAGGGCAGAGTATCGAACGCCATTAGAGATGGTATAGAAGCTTTTGAATGTGGTAACATCCTGTCAGCAGTAAATTACTTCAGACTGTTAGGCTATGATATAGTCTGAATTACTCTACACATGTGGATTTTTGTGATTAGTTATCAATATGAGATTTACAATCTTTTCCGCATAGCACAATTGTGAAATTGCTGCAGAGTATTGAGAAATTCAGATTGATGGCAGTGAAAGAATATTAGTAAAACATCTTACACCAATTTTGAATAAGTAATAAACAGTTTGTAGCTGCTGATTAGAGGTGTTATGATACCATTTGGTACCATTTGCTATTACCAGGTACTGCTATGGTTAATTGAAGGCTGCTATTGAAAAACAAAAGGTTGCCTATCGCCACTGATTGTTACTGCATTTCCACCAAAAAAAATCACAAACCATACAAGTTCTCCTCCATCAAAGAGAACAACAACTACAATAGTTCTGTAAAAGTAAACATTATAACAGAATTGCCATTTTCAGAATTGTGAAGATAAAATAACTATAGGTAATATTATTCGTTTATTTAATGTATTAATTTATTTAATTGATTTTTCTTTTTATTATTTAGTTATTATTTATTTATTTAATTATTTAATTTTAATGTAATTTAGTGCCAAAATGCATATTTTTCCAAATAGCACTAAAATGAGGCAAAGAAACTAGTTTTCAAAGTGAGACTGACTTGTCACACTATAATGTGAATCAATTTCAACATTTTGGTTTGTTTTGTGTGGAAGCTGTTGCACTATTTTTGGCTGTATTTTCCAGCAGTCCACTGCATGCCATTTGTGTAAAGGATTCTTTCTAAAATTCTTGTGAACTGTCTCACCTGTAAGAACTCTGGTGTTGGAATCTAGGTTTTTGGCAAAGTATTTTGTTACCTCAGTCTTGTATCGAGTTGCTGCATTTTTCAGTTTGTTACATTGATAATAATGATTGTTTTGCTAATTAAATACTTTAATGTAAAAAACGTTTGTTTACTACAACAGTAATAGCATTTGGTTGTAAGTTTAAAAATGTGCAGGGTATGTATGCTGTTGACAATAAAATATTCTGAAAAAGGGGAGGTACAGAAGGAATGTTTTAGCTCAAAGGCAGCATGCATGTTTTATTTGTGAACGAATGGTAATATACTTGAACAGACTTTATAGAGCAGAGAGTCTAGCCATTTAGTAGTATAAATACAACAGAATCAACATTTCTAGGATAAAATTGAAAAAGCCTCCAAATTTGCAGCTTTTTCAAGTGAGATTTTGAAAGTCCAAAGAAGTAGAGACAAATTTAAATTTCTTTGCACTTCAAATTTAACTCAGCAGGTTTGCAGATGACGCCAGAGTGATGCAGTGGCCATACCTGAAGACTGGGGCCTGGACAAGCTTGATGAGAGGCTCGGGCTGACATAATTCTAATGAAAAGATCAAGAGAAACTCTGCTGAGAAGGACTTGGGGGTGCTGGTGTATGAGAGGCTGGACATGTTCTGGCCATGCGTGCTGGCGGCTCAGAAGCCGTCCTGGGCTGCATCAAAAGCAGTGTGGGCAGCAGGGGACAGAGGTCATTCTGCCCCTCCACTCAGCTCTTGTGAGACCTCACGTGGAGTGCTTCATCCAGCTCTCAAGTTCGTGGTATAGGAAAGATGTGAACCTGTTGCAGTGGGTCCAGAGAAGAGCCACAAGAATAATCAGAGGGCTGGATCACCTCAGCTAAAAGGAAAGGCTGAGACAGATGGAATTGTTTAGCCCAGAGAAGATGTGCCAAGGAGATGTTATTGCCACCTCTCAGTACTTGAAGGGGACTTACAAGAAAGATAGGGACAGATTTTTTAAGTGACGCCTGATTGGAGAACAGATTATAGTTTAAAACTAAAAGAAGGTTGATTCAGACTAGATATAGAGAAGAATTTTTTTGCAGTGAGGGTAATGCATTTGTTTTGTGAACTGGATCAGTGGATCTAGGAAAGACACTTTCAAATGGGAAAAAAAATATTTGGTCCACACAGGGTGGTTGAGGCCTCAGTCTACTATTTTTTCAGGTATTTGCACATGGTTGGGAAGCGCCTAATAGCACTGTTTACATGTCTTTGCAGGAAACTGGTGTGACATACCTCTTAACAAGGATACATCCCTTTGGAGATACACAGCTTTGGCTCTGAAAGAGAACTGTATTGGTATGCTACAATTTTAAATGTAAGAATTACATTTTAAAGCATTTCATTGTAATAAGCATTTTACTCTGTGTTCTCCCCAGAAATAAAGACACTCTCTGTGGAAGATCTCTATAACTGGAACAAAGGTCCATAACTTATGGCCTTTGGCAGTAGAAAAGAAAATCCCACCACAGAATTCCTACGAATGTCAACCTTGTATTTTATTGTAGAAATGATTCAGCTATCATGTCTATCTCTAAAAGTAGACAGGACTCCATTTTTGGAGTTTTTATCATTGTGTAATTATCAATTTCCCTGTACTTTTTTGAAATTGACTTGCATTTTGAAAATATAACGGCCAGTTTGTGTTTCTCCATTTTACACAAGTTAATTTGACAGTTAGGCATCGGGGTCGAATCCGAAGACCTCCTCGAGAACAGTGCACCACTGCTGATGTCCTTCTTTTGCACTTGTGCCATCTATGCCGTTCATTTCCAGGATGTGGCGTGTGGGAGCTTTCCCCCCGGCGCACAGCATGTGCACCTGGGTAATCAGCGCTCCGGAGCCGTTGGCGTCCGGATCTGCGGCCGGATA